AATATCAAAGGAGAAAATGTGATTTTTTTCAATTTCTATTTAATTTATATAATTATCATAACATAGAAAATAGGTTTCATTGTTAATTTATTTAGTTAACCAAAACAAAGTTTTTATTCATCGAAAAAATTATTAGAGGTTCACCTAGGTCAAAGGACCACGTGGAAAAAATTGCATGATTTTTTAAATTATATTTTAACTATTATAATTATTTATTGATTTTAGTGATTAATTAAATAGAAAATATGTTTTAATTTCAAAGATCATTTTTTATATTTTTTCTTATTTCTCTCTTAAGTCCAAGAGAACTTAGAGAAACAAACTTTTTATTTTTTATGACTCTTATTTTATTTATTATAATTATTTTAATGGAAAATTAAGAAAAATACATTTATGGCATTTAAAAATACATAACTAAACTAGAAAATTAGGAAAAATAATTTAAAGGGTCTGAACTGATCAGGGAATAATTGGAAACAATTTTGGGTATTTTTATATTTTTGTAATTTTTAATCATTTTTTTATAATTTTTTAGTTAATTTTTTTTATTTTTAATTCAAAAAGTAGCTCAAAAATGGACTATTTATTTTAAAATATTTTTTATTTATTCTAAGTGCCCCTGATCACAAGGAACTCAGAAAACCCCTTTTTGTAATTTTCCTAATTATAATTAATTATTATAGAATTTTTAATGCAAATATACCATTTTACTTAGAAAAATTGACTTTAGTGATCAAATTAAATCAAATGAGCTTCAAATTTTTACAGTAAGTTAAAATAATCATTATTTACAATGTGGAATCATTTTTGTTAATTTTTTAATATTAATTTTTTTATTTAAATTTTAGTGAGCCTTTATGATTTAATTAACCATAGTAATGTACATAAACATTTAAACTTAATTTATATTTTTTATAGAGTCGTCTGACCACAAGAAACCTACTGAAATAAGTCCCATATTTTGCTAATTTATATTTTAATTTAAGAAAAATGAACAACTAGGCTTGAAAATTAAGATTTAAAATTTAGAGATGTTTTATAACCTTGGAAAAATCAGAGAACATCCCATATTAACAAGAGATATCAACACATACAGTTTCAAGCCATGGTAATTAGCATTTACTTAATTAGAATTCAAATAGTTCAGGGGGTATTTAATTAATTAAAAATCAGAGGCATGTCTAATAATTTTAATTTTTATTTCAAATTTTTCTTCTCCATTCACTGAGTAAAAGGGTATTTTTTTATTTTTATGATTTTTTTACATCAAGTTATGCATTTTCTAAGCTAACTAAATTAAATAAATCAAAATAATCACTATTTCTCTATTTAACCACGCGACAACCAACTCATCCTACGGTGCTCTAAAAGACCATGTGGCGCTCCACTATTTCATGCCACCATCTGACTCAATGCTGACTCGGCCTATGCTTTATGTTCCATATCCTTGTTTGACCACATCAGCGTTGTCCATCCGATACACACGTGATCGAACGACCCCTAGTCATCGTCCCCAACTAACCTAGCCTGAGAACCATCCGCACTAAAACTTTAGGATCTCTCTCAATACTCAACCAAATCACATGAGTTTTGTTCATGTAGCTTCATCTAGTGGTCACAATAATATGAAATATAAGTTCTCTTCACAATTGATAAAATTGAAGACATTTTTAGGATTTTTGAAATATACCTTTGCCCAAGAGGTGAGGCCTCGATTAGGTGCTTGTGGAAGCTTCATTAGAGTCCAACAAACCTCTTTCAAGCGTTGCTTTGCTTTGGTATAAGCTCTAATATGATTTTGATCAAAGGGGGGGTGTTGCCTTGGTCTAAAGGTGGGTTAGAAGGCTCAACAGAGAAGGGTTTTGATGGAGAACTTCCTCGTTTGGCCTGAAGAAGCTTTTCGGTGGTTTAGTTTGAGCTTTGATGGAGTTTAATGGAATGACATAAAAAGCCCTGAATTTTGAACTCAAAATTGAGCTCTGACAGTGGTTTCAATAAGGGAGAATTGTGGGATTGATCTTAGGAAGTCTTAGAGAATCTTTGGAAGTAATTTGGCAGAGTCTCCCCAAGTTTCTGTGCACTCTCTACGTTTGGTCGTGAGGGGGTGGAGTTTAAATAGGCACAGCCATGGTGGCCACCAGAATCGGCCAGTGGGTGGAAAAGGGTGCTTAGATAGAAGGTTGTGCGGCGCCAAAGGCCAATGGGGGTGAGCCAACTCAGGTAGTTCTAATTTTGGGTTTAGGGCTTGAGGTGGCTCTCAGTTTTAATGTTTTCCACTAGGTCGGCCGACTAGGTTAGGGCTGGCGGGTAGGGTGCTTAAGGGTCAGAGGAAGCTTAACGGTGATTTGCACTGAGGTTTGATGACTGGTGGCAACGATATCTTTGGTTTAGTCAGAAATGGGATGAAATCCCCTAATTCAAGGGACTCTTGGTCCATGGCTTAAGTAAGTTGGGTTAGGTGGATCTGGCTTGGTTCCAAAGGCTAAAATATTGGTTATGCTGACCATGGCTTGGTCAATTTCAATGGTTTTGGTCAAGTTTGGGGCTTAGGTTCAAATTTGGACTTTTGGTTTAAACATGGGTCTTAGGTTGTGTTTGGGCTAAGATTTGGGTCAAGTACTAAGGTGTGATGGATGATTGTCATGAGAAGTTTGGAAAAGGAATTGGGTGATTTCTTTGAATTGATTTTTTGAATTGATTTGGAGGTTCAAATTAATGGAATTTGGCTCATGGTTAATTTTGGGGCATTTCTGTTAGACTTGGGTTTGAACTGGGCTAGGGTTTGGATTTAGCTCAATTGATGGTTCAAATTGGTTCAAGGAATTGTGATGAAGAGTTTTGGATATCAATTTAGTTGAAATTATGGAGTTATGAGGTTCAATTTGGTGACATTGGGGGTTTTGATTTAGGTGGGATTTAGGTGAGCATTGAGTTTATGGTAAGGCCAATTGAGTGTTCAAATTGATCAAGGGGAATATTATGAAGAGTTTGGAAAGCAAAATTGGAAAAATAGGTTTAGTTATGGGGTTTAATTTTTTGGAATTTGAGTGTATGGTCAAAATTGGGAATTTTAAGTGTGCTTATAATTTAGGTTTGAAATTGGGTTCAATTGGGTTTCAATTTAGTTTTAATTTGGATTGGGCAAGACGAATTTTGATTTGAAATTGAAATTGAGGTATATTGCAGTCAAATTGGTGGAAATTGGGGGTGATTTGGGGTAATTTGGCTTCAAAGGGCAAAATAGGGATATTTATCAAACATTGGTCAAATTGGTCAAATTAAACTTCATAAGTGGTCGAGAATGGTTTTAGAAGGGTTTGAAATAATTTTGGATGTTTTGGAAAAATTGGGGCCACCAAGAGCATTTTGGTAATTTTGGTAAAGTTAGGGGTATTTTTGGAAGTTTGGAAATTTTGGAATGTTTTGGGCAATTTGAGTGGCTTGAAATAGTTTGGGATGTTTTTAGACAAAATTTGAGGATTTTGGAAAATTTTTAAAATTTAGGGTTTTAGGGGCAATTTCGTAGTTTTGAGAAAGTTTGGGGGCAAAATGCTAAATCGGGTATTTGGGTAGGATGAGATCAATTAAGGATACTAATCATGAAATTACCCTTCTTTGAACCATGAAACCAAGGGAACTCTCATTTTGGATCCTCCATGTGCTGGTATTAGCAAAACACTAGCCCTGGGCTAAGGGTTTAGGGGACCATCTACATGAGTTTTCAAAAGAGTAACGGATCAAGCTAAGCATTAGTAGGTTAAGGGTTCATGTTATGAGTGCATGTGAGGGGTATCAAGTGTGTGTGTGCAAGACTGACGAATACCACACCACCCCAGGGCTTAGTCTAAGGTCAAACAATCCTATAAGGACTCTTCTTGAGCTCCCCCATATTGGCTCCACCTACTAAGAGCTAGAGGATATAACCAACATGTGGAACTTCAAGATGAGCAAAGAAGAGTTTTAGAATTTCTAATGGTGAGGGTTCCTTTACTAGTCTTCTAGAAATAGGCAAAAGGAAAGTCTTATGGCTAGATCCTAGGCTTCTAAGAAAGAGACTAGACCTAAACAAATATATATATACCGATGCGCATAAGTAAATTATTTTTTTCAGTCTTTGATATGTCCTAACACAAAGATGTTAAACAGTCAACAATATTTCAAGTTGGATATGAACCGACACAAATTTGGCGTAAAATATTTACGTTGACTCTTGTCATCGTAAATTACATTATCGACCCCCCTTTTACATGAGAAAAAATATCAGACACAAATCCGACAAAAAAATCTATGATAACACGACATTATCGACATATTTACTGTCGTTTTACTTTTGATCTGTTTGACGTAAAAGTTGCTTAATTTTTGTAGTTGGCCAACATGCCTCTATCTTAGTTGAATGGCAGCACCTACAAATGGCTTGCCAATCCAACAAACCAAGCTTTAGGGCAACCAGACTATGAGCCTGCATGTATAAAATACTTATAATACTCTATACAACCCTCACTAAAGCAGAGACATAAATATAACCTCATATTTTATACTCTTTTTCTCAATAAATATGAAACTATTCTATGAATAAAGCGTTACACACTTCGGTGAAATTACTCTTCATTGTTGTGCATTCCTCTGTTTGTCTCTCTCCTTCTCTCTCATGTTTTATACTCTATTTTGTGGGTGTGGTTGACGAACAAATTAGAATCCAACACAAACAATTATGACCAATTGCCAAATGTAACATGTAAAAAAGAGGCCTATAGAAATGGAATCAAGATGTAAAACAACACAATAATATAAAGGTAAAAAACTAAAGATAAAAATAAGTCAGATCCCTTCTCCATTCTCTTGCATAGTATTCCTATTATTACATTGCATATGTAAAATGGCCCCCAAAACTAATATATTACACCATGCTCAAGTGCCATTGCTTTCGCACGCACTCTCTCTATTTCTCTCTCTCAATATATATATATATATATATATATATATTTTTCTTCTTTTTTTTATGCTGGAATTTCATTCTCTGTTTTTTGAATCTCGATCACCATGGATTCAGCTCTCAGAGGAGAACCCCCATCGATAATATTGGGTGCAACCATATGGAGCTCTATTCCCTCGATGCCTTCCTTATTCTCCAATTTAGTCAAAACATCATTGCTTTTACCCCATAAAATTAAGTACATACCAACTACTAAGACAATTGCCCCGATAACTCTGCATCCAATAAAAAAGAAAACTTTCAAAATGATACTACATACTATACGAAGAATATTTAAGAATATGGACATACATTTGGCATGAACTTACGTTCCGAGAGCAGTCCTTTCTGCTAGAAAGATCGAGCTCAACACATTAGTAATGATCATTGTTAGAGGATTGAAGGCACTCGCAAAAACTGGGCCCTTCTCCTTCATCACCATCCCAAGCACAAAGTACAAGAACGCAGTGCAGACTACCCCCTGCAACTGAAGTACATCACTAATTTATTTTTAATTACTAACGTAGTATTATTAAACTTACCGAATATGTCACAGCAAAAAGCCGCATATCCCAGCCTAAAACCCACGGCCGAAAGCTTCCCTGCTCCACCACAAGAGCAATCACAGCGTTTGTCACCGCACCAATAGAGCATACCATAACTGTCAGGCTTAGTTTTGCAGGGTATGATTTCAATGTGTTTGTCTGCAGTTAAGACTCACAATAAGAAAATCATTCTTGAAGATTTTAGAATTAATTAATGGCCTTCTTATATTACTTGTAGGATCAAGAAGGAACACCAGCTGAAGCAGCTCACTAAAACCATTAATGTGCCCTTAATCCATCCCACGTTGCTTGCTGCTTCCCCATTGGCATGACCGGAAGTGCTATTCTTCTCTCTTCCTTTTAACCAGAAGAATTCCACCAAGGGACCTTTGTATAGAATCATCAAAATGGCACCAATCACAGTCAGGAGTGCTCCAATGAGCTTGGCAAGGCCATGCCTTCTTCGAATATTTAACTTCTCGAACCTAATTAGATTATACAGCATTATGCAGCACAAATGAGAAAAGAAAATAAAAACTTTATTTAGAAGTTTTGATTTAGGAAATACCTTAGAAGAAGGCACATGATAAAGGTAATGGCTGGGTTGATGTTTTCAAGTGCAGAAGCAAAGCTTGTCGAGGTGGCCTTGGCTCCCAGAAAATAGAAGTTTTGATCAAGAACAGGCCTGGCGAGAGATGGGAATTAGGGCAACAATTAACTTAATATGACGAGTTTATGTGTGATTAATTCTTTAAGAGGGAGGAAAGATCGTAACTGAAGTATTCCAAGGGCCATAACCTTGACAAAAATGACCAGTGTCATTTTAGATTCCCCATTCCTGGACCAGAGAATGGAAAAATTCGGAAATTAATGCCTCCATATGTTACTATAGCATGGAAATATTCACTATGGCTTTTAAACAATTGAAGTTGAATGAGCATTCATCATGGTTATTGATACAAGATCAATCTTGAATCTTCGGACAAGGTCAATGATGTTGACAGAATAACGATACAAGATCAATCATGATCTTCGGACAAGGTCAATGATGTTGACAGAATAACTATATTTTCTACTAAAGATAAATCTAATCATATAATTTGTGATGTATATTTTGTTTGATTTAAGTACTTTTAGCATTTTCCTTTAAATATATGACATTAATACTTTATATATTTGAAGGTCCCAATAGATTCTTGCTATGGACTTCTATGTATTAATTCCACCACATGCTTTTAACCGATACTTTACTTCTATGTATTAATTCCACCACATGCTTTTAACCAATTTTCTTCAGAGAGCAGGCTTATTTAAAATTACGCCTGAGAAAATGAATTTATTAGAATCTATAAATATATAGATTGTAGTAAGAAAATTTTATCAATTAAAAACTTTATGAAAGCATTCAAAATCCTAAAAAATATTATCAAATATTTTAAGAAAATAAAAATAATTTACCCTTGTTAAAATAAATAAAAAGAAAAATTTACATACATAGCACTCAATTCCTATGAATTTAGGTATTTCACATCTAAATTTCCATTTAAAAATAAAAATAATTTACCCTTTTTAAAATAAATAAAAAGAAAAATTTACATACCTAGCACTCAATTCTTATGAATTTAGGTATTTCACATCTAAATTTCCATTTTTACTGGAATAGCACTGTACATATTTACAAAAAAAGTTTGATTTGACTACTAAAAAATATAATTTGTGATATGAAGAATTTAAACCTATGCATGTAAAAATGAAATTGTAGGTGTGAGATACATAAATGCATTAGAATTGAGTCCTATGTATGTAAATGACCCATAAAAAAAAGGTAAATTCTATATTCAGATCAAAAATTAATAAAAATTTACCTCAAAGCTATTACATTTAATTTAAACATAATCTAACAAAAATTGATTAGTTTTTTATACTCTACACATATCTTTTATTAACTAATAATTCTGAGATTTACATAATCAAAATTTGATTAAAATGTACTTGCCAGAAATCTTGTTAAATAATTTTCTAATCTTTAATTCTTAAAAATAAATTCGACGACTTATTTCTTTTTCATAAATCAAACATCTATTTTAAAACTTTTAATTAAAGTTGTTGATAATTTACATCTTCAATTCGAAAAAATATTACTTACGGAGTCCGTATGTAACTTTGCGTCCGGAATCCAATAAAAACTTGCCACATGAAAAATAACAAAAAAATGCCAATAACTGCACCCCCAACAACACGTTAGTGTTATTTGTGTGCTTCTCCGGGTGGTGTTATTGGCATTATTCGCAGATGTTATTGTGGTGTTATTGGTGTTATTTTGCGGGATTATTGAAGCAGAAACGCGGTGTTATTTGTGCGGTCCCGGGTAGTATTATTGGCACTATTAAACGGTGGTATTGTTGTGTTGTTGTGGTGTTATTGAAGTTTTTTTTGCAATAACACCACAATAAGCGTCTTTTCGTCACTTTTAGGTGATCATGTTAAGATTTTATTGGAGTCCGAATGCAAAGCTACGTCCGGACGCCCATATGTAATTTTTTTTCCTCCATTTCATACCTTTCAAAGCAGAGCGCAAACGGCGCAATGACAGCCGCAGCAACAACGCTACGATACACGAACATCACAGACTGGTTCATGCCTTTCTTAAAAGTCACCATTAAAATTACGTACATAACAGCAAAGCTAAACTGAACCAACATCATTGCCCCATAAGGCTTCACTCTCTGCAACGCTTTTTTACAACTGCCGTTGAGTCCCATTGCCACCATTGCCGTAGCAGCTGCTTCCCACAATAGCTCCGCTTGGTCTTCTCTTTACTTTATATTATCTATATATGCATTGGAGCAAGACATGCAACAGATTTTTTTAATCATTTTGCTATCTACGCCTTAGATCCTTTTTCCTCTTTTTAAATGCTGATTATGTTAGCATGCCTTTAGTAACCTATTAGAAAATCCTCTGGCTTTCGCATTTGGCAATTTGTAAAGAATTGAAGGAGGAACAAATCATTTAGTTTTCTTCAGGTTTCTTTAGGGAATCTTAGCTACAAAGATGCAGCCATTATATTTATAATTGGACTTGTTTGTGGCAGGGGGTGCGGAAGAAATAAGAGAAATCATTGGGTTTGCATAAATAACTGGTAAGCCACCTAGTCTGTAAATATATATATATATATATATATCAATTATTAGTGTTCAATTAAGAGTCCATATAAAATAGCTGCAGCTTTTAGAAAAGATAATTGAAGAAAAAATATTTTCGAAAACTGTGATAAGAGTTTTGATTATAATTTTATTCAAAAAAATTAGACAGCAGCCGAAAACAACTTTTAAGCACAAAAATTTTTAGGGAACAGGAAGATAACAGTTTATTCCCTAATGCATTTATTCCATACTTTATTACATGGGTTGTTCAACCAATACATGACAAATACGCTGAAGAGAGTTGGTTGACTCGTCAGCTGCCCAGCTCGATCTACTCGTGTTCAGTTCTTTCATACGAGCATAAGCAACCTTGGATACTGTTTTTTAATATATTGCTTATTCCCTATGGTAATTCCTTGTCCTCATGTCTTGTTGATGCGAAATTGTTGAGAGAATATGCTCGAAAACAATTTACCTGAAAGTTCAACAATGGCTAATTTGTATACAAAACTTAATCTTACAATACAAGTCAGCATGCTTATTTGGCACAATAGCATGAAACAAATTGTCAATGAGGGGGTCATCACAAGTTTTTATGAGGGTATTGTATGGAAAATTGACATAATCATTATAATTTATTAGTTTTTAAGATTTTCAATAGATATATTAATTAAGCTTTGAAGTTATCAATCACATTTTGTTTTGTTACTCGTTCCAATATAAATGTCTAGCATGAGTTTATGCACAGTTATTTGGCAATAATAGTAATATAGAGTTTGCCTTTGTAATTAGCTTTAAGTTCCACAAAGTAAAGCACCGGAAGTTTTTGACAACTTTTCTTCGAAAAAATTTCTTAAAGAAGCCTCAATAGTTAGAATTAATAGTTTGTACCTAATCAAAAAAGATGAGAAAAAGAAAAAAAACATCCTGATGCAGTTTTGTTTCAGGACTACAATTGGGAGTTTGCCACATGTGCAGGCAGGCCGACTAATGTATCAAATTAATTTTGTTTTACTAAGACGGGTTTGTCTGTACACGTAGCAAGCTCTGATTGAAGTCCTTATGCAAAATTGCATCAAGACTTCTGATGCAATATTTTTTTTCTAGAAAAAGAGGCGTCCATTGTTTGGTAGGGTAATTCAGTCCTCATTTTCTATGCTTTTCTCGTAAAAAAAATTTAGTGGTCTATAATACCTCATATTTTATTCCATAAATATACATTTATACATATAAATGACAATATCTCATTATTTTTGTAAAAAATTTGATATACAAATTTAAATATTATTCTAGTACCAATAGCAAATAAATGAAAGCTATTATAATTGTCTGTCATTTTCTTTTTATCTTTTCATCAGAAAAGCTTAATTTTTATATTTGCTCGTTTGAGTTTTTTCTCCTATAATGAATAATATATTTGGAAGTTAGTATGTTGCTATTTAAAGTAATTCAAAATTCATACAATCATACAATGTGGTGCCAATGAAAAATGAATTGAATTTTTCTCTTAAACAATTTGAAGTAATCCATTCCCTCAGAATAAAGTCATTTGTACAAGGACATTCAAGAGTTTGTCGTTAGTTTTCACTAGCCTAACATACGATGATGCTAATACAAATTGCATCATTCATCTTAAAATGTCAGCAATATTTTGTATTATAATATGACCTGTAATACTAATATGGGCTTAGAGTATTATGTAGACAACTTTGGAATTGATGGGGAGGAGAATCTGATATATTTTTGGTTATTGGAACTAATTAAAGAGAATTTCATGGATGACAAGGAAGAAATCTCAAAACTAAGTCACATTGGACTAAGTTGGGCTCACTTTGGATTTTTTGGTTCAAAAGAATTTTTCAATGAAAATGGGAATTTAATTAATGAATTAGAATAAATACTCCATCATGATAAAATATTTTATGTTAATGAAAAGTGCGTTGGAGTCAATTAGTTTCAATGAAAACCCTTGTCTAACCAAATTCCATAAAAGATATTTTAGGGTTTCTTTGATAGATCAAATGATAAAATCAAAAGCTAAAATTCTATGTTGTGATGGATTAATGCGTTTATAGTATATCTGGATTTTTTAAGATTTTTAAAGATTTTTTTCAATTGGTTTAAGGTATCTAAATGTTAAAATATAGTATGGCTAGGTTTTGTTATCTGGATTTTTTTTTTTTGCTGAGAGTTATATGCATAATGGATTGGTTTTCAAATGATTGTAAATATGGTAATTGAGATAGAATCATAGTGGAAATATAGATGGAAAATTAAAGATTAATGAAAAAAAAAATTGAACTTTAATATTACATCCACTAACTATAGTAACATAAGATTGAAAAGTTGCCACCATGTAAGTCTTCCTTGTTGAGTTGACTAACATGCTTCCACTTTCAAGTTTCACACTCAAAATTAATAAATGAATTTTACTAACACAACAATAACTTTATTCATTCAAAATAATATTTATATAAATAAGTTTAATGCGTTTCAAATACAAACTAGGGAAAGGGAGGGAAGAGTAAATGTAGAGATGCTCATGGAGATAATTGGCCACTCCATAACCCCCAATACAATGGTTTGGATGATTTTTACTTAGCTTGGCTGGCTATACTATTTATAGTACCCTAAAGGTAACACCACATACCACAAGTGATATTAATTTTATATGCAAACTACTGAGGACAAATAATGTTTAGCTTCTTTAATATTTCCCCCCTCCCCCCCCCCCAATTGATTTTGACATCCATGGAATTCAGTATAGAAAGTATAAGCATGATAAAAAAAATCACATCTCAGAAGAACAATCTACCATAGGTGTCTATTAAAAATATTTGAAAATAAACTCACGAAAGAATATTGTGCAATAGAAAGCAAATCTAAAATAAACATGTCATAATGAAATTGAACGGAAGAAAGTCTATATAACAATATAAGTATCAACATAAGAGTATATAAAAACAAGCACATTTGTCCAGAAATATTAGGAAAGTATAGGGAGAAATAAAATATCCAGTACAACCAATAAAAAAAGGAAATACAACAGCATCACAATAACAGTACAAGAAAAACTGCACATAATGAAAACATTATAAGAAATCAAATTTAATCATTCACAAACAACATCAAGATCACAACAAACACATATAATAAGTAAAACAGACCATAAATAAATACAACTCACAAACAAACACAAACAAAGAAGATAAACACGCTAACACAAATAACTATGGTTGCCTCACTAAGCATTTAGTTTAACGTCATCAACCCACCATATCGTGGATAAATGTTTTCGTTGATGGTATGTCAGTCCATAGAGCATAACATCTCTAACAATATAATTGACTATGTCTTCATATCATAGAATTTGCCATTTTGTGAATTTAAATAATTCTTTTTTTGGTGATCTCCTGCAAATATCTTCATCTAAATCTGGTTCTATTAATTTAACTTCATGAGTCTCTCAAAAATGACTACAGCAGAGATAACCAATAATATCCATCCTGAAACAAGCATCATCATTTTCCTCAGAAGGCTGCTTCATATATTTTAAAACATTTAAAGTGACCCCATGCTCATTCACTCATACAGTCAACTCTCCTTTTTGAATATCTATCATGGCACAACCAGTTGCTAGGAAAAGGTCTACCTAAAATGATAGGGATTTCCTTATCTTCCTCCACATCTACAAAAATGAAATCAATGGAAAAGATAAACTTATCCACTATCACTAAGACATCCTCTATAACCCCTCTTAGATAAGTGATAGGTCAATCAAAAAAAGTGTAAGGTCAAGATGGTAGGTGCCACCTCTCGTAATCATAATCACTTAAAGATCGATAAATGCATGAGATTGATACTAGCTTCAAGATCACATAATGTTTTTCCATAAAATTTTTCTCCAATTGTAAAAGATATTGTAAGGCTCACAAGGTCCTTATGTTTCTGAGGAAGCTTCCTTTGTATAATAGCACAGTATTCCTCGCTAAGTGCTACTGTTGCATGATCCTCAAACTTTCTCTTTCTAATAGGAATTTCTTTCATAAAATTTGCATAACTAGACATTTTCTATAACGGCAAAAGGAATGTTTATTTTCAATTTCTTGAATAATCTATTAATCGTGAGATTTGTTGGTCTAGTTTATTTTTTTGTGTCCTTGAAGGAATGATGGAGGTGTTCTTTTTATACTTATCTAAGCTAAAAAAATTTGTTTCTCTAATACCTAATTAGGTTCTTCCATTGGTTTTTTGATCTCCACTTTCTCTTTTTCCATCTAAACATTCTTTAGAACTACATCATCTAATTCTTTTCACTCTTTAACTTTATCACTTTTAATTGCTCACTACTCTTCTCCTTAGGTTCACCTTGGTCCTACTAGGAAGAAAACCTGAAGGACTATTGCTATGTAAATTAACAATTTGCTCCAGCTAGTTTTCAAAGTTCCTTGTGACAACCTCTTGGCTGCAGCTTACTCCCTATTTAAAGAACAACCTCTTCTATAGACAACTTCTTCTCGTTGTACTGTGAGTTGGAGTTAAATCTAAGAGGAAAAGAAGGTCTAAAGTTAGGATTACCCTATTTGAAAAAATTACTTATAGGATTAACTTGGTTATTTCCCCAT